ATATCCGTTTGAGAAACGTGATTTCAGCATTAATGTTCCTTTCTGAAGCTTGGCTACAAATCTCTTTTTAGTTGTCAGTTATTCAAGAGTTATAGACAGTTATCGACGTTTTGACGTTTTCCTTGAGGAAAAATCAATTCCAAATCGGACAAAGAATTTCTAAGAGGCACATTTTGTGTAACATTCCCAACCATAATTATTCCGATCAAACAGGATGTGACTCATATCGATTAGAGCTTCATGTGAGCAGGGGAATCAATTACAATTTTATCGATTCAGCAGGTAACAGGATGGAGCGAATTTTGCTTTATAATATGTTCTCTTTAGCAGCTAATCCATCATTATTGGCATAAATAATTTTTTTTTAATTTAAGTAGGTTTTTTTAATAGAAATTTATGTCTTATCCTGATTATCTAGAAAAGAAGAATAGAAATCTAAACAGAATAAAGAATGATAAATAAATATATAAAATATATTATAAAGAGTAATCCAATTTCACACCAAATTGTATAAAATAATATTCATAATAGAAAATTTATCTTTACATTACAGTATTTAGCCTCAACCCGCTAACGATAATTATATTTTACGCAAGTACATTGTTTAATGCGTTGAAAAATCGTGTTTACGATGCCATATAAAATACAAGAATTTCTTGTGACAAAAAGTGACGACGCGAGTTTAACACTCGCATAACACAAAGTTGGTAATGCGTTACGATAAAACGAATTTTATATAGGATACGAAACGCGCGTTAATAAGAAAGTTATAGACTGCCATTTTGGCTGCTGCAAGATCCAACGCATGCGGTTCTCCGATATACGAATACCTTACTGTACGATTAAAAAAGATGAATCATGCACGCGATCCCAAAGCGCGCTGTCGGCGAGTCCCCTCCTTATTAAGTATGCGATGCACGTTCTTCCACATATTTATTTCGCCCAAGATTTGGCGTGCCTCCACCGGATCCTGAAAATTACCGACGAGAGGCCCGTCTCCGACTTTGTGGTATGCGCCATAAATATTCGAACTTTAGGGGAACGCAGAAAGGAAAAGCAAAAAGTATCGTTCAAATACCCTCGGTATTTGCACGCCAATTAAATATTTTATCTAAATGTTATCATAAACTTGGTTGCGAAGTGCTTTTGTGAGCAAGTTTTATTTCCAGGAGTGCTGCTTAGAATTTTGTGACCTAAGTCGCAAGGTTTTAGAGGCCACAGGCTTCGTGTCTTATTCCCATTTGTAGACGTGAATATTGCAAAAGCTTACGAGACACGTTTCGGATGAACCCAACCAACGAATGTATATTTTCGGAGATATAGAGTTTAATATGAAGAAAAGAAAGACAGTGTAAATATGAAAATTTGTGTTATTCAACTTGAGGTAGGCTTCCTTTAAAGCGTATACAGTAGTTGATAAATCATATTCATATTTATTAAAAATAAATAGGAAATAATATAAAAAAATATATAACGTAATTCTGAAGAAATACCTATATATATTCAGAAACGCAAAGGAGAATAATAACGATAAAGAGAAAAGCATATATATTGAATATGATAAAATTAACAAATTGTTTAATAACGCGCCTAAATATAACGCGACAATAATTTGGATAAAGTAGCATTTATTGCGAATATACAATAATTTCTATGCATAATTGCATAATATATATATACGACCACTCTTTAGAATCTAAGGAAAGCACTGATGTCATTAAACAAAGGAAGCTCGAGATAACTTTCGCGCGTAACTGTTTCTGTGCCACTATGCAGCAGCCATTAGCCAAGTGCACTTTGCGTTTGAGTGCGCAATTTCCAGTGTGAAACGTCAAAACCATTATTATTCGAGTAAAATCGCAGCTATATAATGAAGATATTAATCGAAGATGTAACAAATCGTTGAAAAACTAGACGCTTCAAAAATTAAAGCCTTCTCTTAAGTTTTAATGTAAGATGTAGAATTAAACTCTCATATTTTCCCGTATTTTAATTTGTAAATGTACAAATACCATATTCAATAGTTGTTAATGTCGGTACCGATTCGATCAAATTGACGCTGAATTAGAATGCATCAAATGAATTGCGCAGAATCTGTTTCAATTTTTAATTCAACTGTCTTTTGAATTCTGCACATTTAAGGAAGATTCATCCGGCACTCTTTAATAAGTCCCTCCGGGGTTCCGGTACATCTCAATAATGAAACGATCGGGTTTAATAACAATGCCGTCTTGCGAGTGACAGTTATTCGTTAACTCTGTCGTCTCTAAAACCGCATCGTGGCGTTTATTACATGGCCGTGCCACTTATTGTTCCCGAAGAACGTGAAGGGATACGACGCGCGACGTTCTGTTCCTTTTCTTTTCGGTCGGTCGGTCGGCGCGGCCCACTCCTTGATTCCGGTATATATACGCCCGACAACGTGACTTCTTTTCTCGTTCACGCGATCGCGACGGCGAGATTCTTTCCCTGGAAGAGATGCCGATCTTCCACCTGCCTTCGATCTCTCATATAAGCGACTTCCTTTTTCTCCTCTCCTCTTTTTCTCACGAAAGTGTACCGACGATGACGCATTCGGGAATCCATACGACCGACGCACCGCGACAATAGAAAGTTTGAAGGCTAAGATCCGGAAGGAAGACTCCGATGACGACGAGTGACCCACATCCGGTGAATCAACCGTGAGAGAGTAGACGCACGCAGCCGCTTATATGAACCGTTGAAGAAAATATCACGATCGAGTAGAAACTCGGTATTGGAGATGAGAGTCGAATCACTCGATAACTGATGCCGATATATAAAGCGTGGAGGACGGTCTCTTTAGAGCGTAATGAAGCCCGTGCTCGTTCATTATATATAGCCCTTTGATTCAATCGCTTGATTCAACAATGACTATTCCATTCGATGTATTACATTCCATGCGGATGATATTTTGGATTTATTGTATCATATTCTATGCATAATATTGTTATATTATATCATATTGTGGGGTTTACTCGAATACGCACAAGTACAGCAAAATGATTTTATGTTGCGGAGAGACTAACGATTAGCTACCTGACTATGGACCGACTTCTTCTACTTACTCTTTTGTTGTCAGAAAGTACAACAGCTCTGATGAAAGATGCAATACGAGAGCGATCTAATGCGCTTTTTCAAAGAGCTCGCTAAAACTAATTTTAAGATTGAGGAAGTTAATCTTTATTCTTTTCTATTAACTTTAAAAAAAAATGCCGAGCTACTGTTGCATTTAACTTTGTAATTATTTTAGAATTGTCGTATTTTCTGAACACAAAGTATGTTTATTTCAATCGAGTCCACCTTTCGGTCCCATTTACCCGTCGTCTCTATTTTTACTGTCACGAATAATTAACGGGCCATGCCTTAAATAAAGCGCGACTAAACGAAAACTTTCTCGCGCGAGTTCGTTCTCTTATTCAGGTCGATTCGGACGAATATGAACGACATATTTTCATAAAAGATAGAGGTAACATCTTTCATTTTTAACCAGGATATATCCCTCTACATAGCTGCTGGAGGAAAAAGTATTGAAATGGGGCTACATCGAATAGAAATAAAGCTCGGGGTCGTAGCTCCTCCTTATCGATTCACGTCGTAAAATGAAAGTTGAAGAATCCCAAGAACGTCGTTTCGGAACGGAGAAGCCTCCCGCGTTCGTCAATCACGTATATATGTCGCAATAGATACGCGGAAATCACCGTCTCCGCGCGTCGACGGTCAACAGACTAATGACTAATCTGGTATAATCTCGGCGCGATTGCTCCATGTAATCGCTATCATGCACCAAGAAGTGGCATGGCATTACGGCCATATCCCACTAACGTTGCATTATTCATGTTCCCCGGCTACACCCTAAATTCGAGGACTTCCCAGAGGATGTAACCGCCGCAACGCGCCGGTAATTTCACCGTCGAGCAGCCTTGCCAGCTATCGCCATATAAATCACGAAGTACGGTGCATTAAAGACGTACGGTCCCGTGAGGGGAGAGATAGGCTTCTTTGCATTATAGAGCTTATCGGAAATATCGCTTAAAATATTTACCGCGTATTCACGTGTATTATTTTTATTTTTATCAGTATTGATTATGCGAAGCGTCTCTATTCCATTGTTCATCGAGATTTTATTTTTTTGCATTAAATCATATTTTCTGAAACAATTAATTGTTGGCCTAAACATCATTAGTTTATGCAAACTAATGTTAACGATGTAACAATGACACATTATTAATGACAATAATGTGTTTTCATTTCTACAGTAATAGCAGCGATATTACGACCAATATATCGTAATCAGTCAATACATTGACATTAGAATTTGTAATTGCATTAATGGTAGACAAGAGACGGTCGTTTATGATTCTCTCTTACTTTTATTTTTAATTACGAACCGCCTGAGAGGAACATCTCGGGACGGTCACAACGGGCGCGGCCGGATAATCGCCGCGATGAAAAGAAACGATATACTTACGTCGCCAAGCCGGGCTTGTAACGATGCGCAAAAGGAAGAGTAGTAAAAAGAAAACGAAAAAAACGGTCCGACAATTCGTAGATCTTAAAGTCGACTTCGGCTCATGAATAACGTAGGAGAGAGCGCATTAGAATATCCCCCGCGGCATAACGAATAAGGAGACATAACTTCCATTGTTATTCCACCGGCTTTAAAGGGGAGGGCCCTGACTGACGGTGACTACGAAAAAGACGAGAGAGAGAACTCTCTACCATAACGGGGGGGGGGGGGGGATAACGATATTTCCGCGGGGATGGCGTACCTGAAAGAGAAAAGTCAACGAACCTCGCCGTTGATTTATAAAGAATGCATCGCGTTGAAACGAAGGCCGTTCCCACTCCCATTTCGAGTGAAGGTAAACGATTGTGCGACGAGTACGGGGCACCCCCATGGCAATTAGCATTTCCATCCGATTATCGCGACGGCTGGGGGTCGTATTTTAATCAAGACCGCGATTGTGTGACTGTTCCAGATAATAGCGGACGGCTCCAAAAATTACTTGATGCGCTGAGGATGCGCCGTGATTTCTGCAACGGTGGGCTTGCCTGCGCCGTTGTGTGGGTGTCATCGACTTGTCTGCTGCTCGTCCTCTCGCTATCGACATCGACTTCCGCCGGTACGTCCTCGTTTTCTATTTTCTTTTCTGATCTTTCATTATTTACTCCTCGTTAATTTGTCTCGTGTCTTGGTGTCTGTGCTCGCAAACCCAAAGCGTACTATTATTAAAAAAAAAAAAAGAGATAAATCAATGTCTTTGGAAAATACATTTTTATTTGTATATTTTAGTTCGCACAACACCAAGTGTCACTTTAATTAATTTCTTTTTTAATTTAATTCTTCACAGTTTTCATAGAGCTGTTTCTATTTTTGTTTAATTTAGCGAATCAATCAGTTTTTACAGCAATATTTCCAGAACTGAAAATCGAAAAAGAAAAACAAGCGCTTTTCTTTTTCCCTTCTTTTTTCAGATTTTACCAAGTTAATAATATTCCACATATATCTTAAAAGGATTATTGATTAATAGCCATCTATCTGTTTGCGGTAACAATTAAATATTGAAAATTTGCAAACGAGTTTAATTTTCCACGTCATAACAAGATACGCGGCGATTTTGCTGTCACGAATTGAGATATAGAGATCATTTTCGCGCGTAGCCTCGGAATCTAAACTGGACAGAATTAAATTGGTTGCAATCCTCGATAATCATTAAACCCATTACGAGTTTCATGTCATACGCACGGTCAGTCGAGTGATCGCATGCGTGAATCACACGCGTTTTCCGGTCATCAATGTACATGACGTAGACGATCGGCGCAATGCGATGTACCCATACACGATAATAATGTGATATTGCTGGTTAGAAACTTCCCGATTGCGATTTCGTATTCCGGTAATCGATTCCCATTCCAATGTGTTACAGCAGGATGCAATCGTCCCAATAAATATCGAGAGCGATCCGATTTGCATGCCAATAACAAATTGGAATTTCTCCTACATCATTAAAACACATCCCTTCGTTTTTTTTTTCTCGAGTCTCTCGCTCCTTTCACTCTTTCTTTTCTTTCTCTCTTTTAAAGGAGATTTGTATCGAAGATACATGCGTGACATGTTCACTCGGCAATGTGTTACATATTAAATCTATTTGTGAGCTTATTGGGAAATAGAATAAAAAACAACGAATTTTTTGGTCTACATAATATACAATTATATAATTATACAATAGAATTTTATTCTGTATAGTGTATTCTATCACGAATATCATGACTCGTTTGAATAGATATATATGAGAGACGAGGAAATCGGCGAGCGATGGATCGGCAATTTGGGTAATTGGACGCGCGGCGAAAGCCATCCGAATTTCACCTGGGTTTTTACAAAACTTTGTTTCAACGGACGGACGCGAGAATGCACGTTCAAAAATGCGCACGCCACAAACGGACGATTGATAGGCAACGCCATGCCGTACGTGCATCGTACTCGGGGACTTTCGCTGGAGGACACCTAAACGGAATATCGGGTGGATTTTCTTTTCGCGTATGCCCGTCCGAGCCGGGCACTTTCTTCATTTGTCACGGGAACGTGCATCACCGTTCTCTGCGTATTAATATGTGTCATGTAACGGAACGCGCACGGCGAACTGCCATGCGCGTCATGCATAAATTTGCACCAGGAACTTAATTCTTCAAGTTGAAAAGATTTATTCGTACATTTTTTTAAATTCTTATTGCTTATCAATACCGTGTATATTTTTAGTCGGAGACTCCAATTCAAATTAAAAGCAATTGTAATAACTGATCGATTGTCATTTGAGTCTCGCGCTTTTAGAAATTTTATCGGTTTTTTACTTACCTTGGTGGAAAAATATCTCAGATTTTTGTCCGTCAACACATCTTTGTAGAAATCTGAATAAATATGAGAAAATCAATCCACTCATTTATCAGAAATTTTCATACGTACAGATACTGAAATATTCCGAAAATTCTCATCCAATTATTACTGATGTACCTGATATTTGCCTTTTTTTCAGAATTTTGCATAAATCTACTATAAGAAAACTTAGAAAATTTCTGAGAAAATATGAGAATTTTTTTTTACCAGGGTATATAATTTTTTTTACCAGGGTTTCTGTACATTCGTTTCCGTATTTTTTTTGTAATGATAAACATTTCGTTCGTTTATCCCATATTTTTTCTCTTCTTGAATGCTCGAAGGCATTCGCTATTACGGTGCCGCCTTGAAACGCTCTCATAGCATGTTAGGTAAGTATAGTAAGTGTGGCAGTAGGATGCCGAGGAACCGTTAGCCGTCGGCTTCAGCTATTTTTATTATTATTATCATCGTTGTGCTACACTTTAGTCCGAGCGTGCTCAAAAACCCCGCCTCTCGGCTTCTCATCTGAGAAAGCACCTTATTTCTCGGTGAATTGTTAAAGCTCCCCTTAATGTAACTCATTAATACAACTTAAATCTGGGCTCACAGTGTGTGCTTGGTACACGCTTTGTGTCGCTCTGTTTTCAACCGAAAATTATCTTTAACATTCATTTTCCCAGGGAAAGAATTAAATAATTTTGATTTTCTCTAAACAAATTTTCTCTATGAATCTTGATTGCTCGCGAAATGTTACTTTTTGACCATGATATCCCTGGATATTAATTTAAAAACTTCTTTTTATACACCGCAAAAAAGAACACAAAGCTATACTGAATCCTTTTCGGATTTCAACTAAATCATACATTGTACTGCGATAGCATGAGAAAATTGGAAATTATAAAGAAAGAAAGAAAAATTCAACTTTTTTAATAAAACATCATCACATGATCAAATGCGTTAGAAATCTTTGCTACCCTCGTTATTCATGAGTCATTCGAAGACATCAGCGCGAAAATGAAATAAATCTACAATTACCAACATAATACCAATAATTAAAAATCGTTAATCCATTACTATTAAATCTAACTAAATTTTAATTAGATTTAATGACTAAATAATAACTAATATTAAAAAAAGATTCATTTTGAACAGAAAATCATGTTCAAAATGGATTTTATAAATTGTACAATTGTTCTAATTTTTTCGTGCTAAACTATCCAAAAACTGAGAGACTTACATCCGGATTTGCGAATCGCGTAATTTGCAGAGCCGTTGCTGAGAGCCGCCGGTCGATGTCCAGCCCTCGTCGAACAGAACGTGTGTCCATCGAGGGCACCGGCCTGTAAGAATGACTACCAATGCCAAGGCACACCGGAGGAACGCTGCTGCCAGACCGCGTGCGGCTTCCGCTGCGTCGCGGGCGAGTTAACCGGATGCGAACAGCTGGCTTTGGCGGCTGTGAGGAGGTCGCGGGCCCTCGGCGCCCGGGGCCCCTCGCAGTTCGTGCCGCAATGCAGCAACGTGACCGGCGAGTTCGAGAGGATACAATGCGAGCCGCAAGGCCGCAGCTGTTGGTGCGTCGACGAGATCGGCGCCGAGATACCCGGCACCAGGGCGCCCAGCAAGGATGTCATCGACTGCGACAAGCCCCGGAACTGCCCGGCTCACAGCTGTCGGATGCTCTGCCCCTTGGGATTCGAAGTATATCCGAGATATAAATTTGCTTTATATTTGATATATTCAACGTAAATTAAAAATTATCAGTATTGAAAAAGGTCAGGAAAAAAATACTTCCTTTTTATGCCAAAGTTCATCTTTGTTATTTCTCTTATCACCTACATTTCGAAAATAAGTTCTTAAATATTTTTCTCGTATTTTTCGAAACAATTGATCCATTTCGCACAAATCACTGTGTAATTCCAATTTGTGGTATTTAATTTTAAAAGACAAAAAGGAGAATTTATGTAGAATTAAAATTTTTTAAGTAGAATTTTAAACTAGATAGAGATACTTCACGTAAAATAATTTTGATTTACGATGCTTTTCGCACGAAAAGGCTTTTCAAAAACATCTGTTATTAAAAGAACCAACTCTTCTCCATAGATCAATGAGGTCACCGGCTGTCCCAAATGCGAGTGCAGGGATCCCTGTCGCGGCGTTACCTGTCCGGGTGCCGGACAGACGTGCGAGCTAATCGCCGTGAGTTGTTTTCGGGAGCCGTGTCCCCCGGTACCCAGCTGTCGGAAGACCAGATCCTTATCGACAATCTGTCCGGCAGGCGAGCCCTTGCAGATCACCGATTCGCCGCGGCCGTTCCTCTGCGGCGACACGCCAGGTAAACCAACTTGTCCGCCGATGTACAGCTGCCTGGTGGAGCCCAAACAGGAATACGGGGTCTGCTGTCCGTCCAGCGTGAAGCTACAACGACCCGGCACGTGCCCCGCAGAAGAGTCGACGACGGGCTCGTGCGGGCCCACTTGCCGCTACGACCTCGAGTGCCCCGGGCCCCAAAAGTGCTGCAGCAACAAGAATTGCGGCGGTAACGTGTGCACGATACCCCGAGACCTCAGCGCGTGCCATCGTGACCGCATGCTTGCCGAGATACTCAGCGTCTCCGAGCGCCAGGGTCGCGGCTACATTCCGCAGTGTATGGAAGGTGAGAAATAAACTACCAAGTATCCGGATCAATCAGACGACTCGTCGTGGCCATTTCTTTGCGATGAAAACGTCGAGCTTCTATGCTGTTAAATTCGTAGCGTCAAATTATATTCAGTTTGAATCATTTTTTATCATTCCTATAGATCATCACTGCTCCTATTCAATATGTCGTTGATTTAAGTAAACCAATGAAGTTAAAATAATACTGTTTTGTGTTAAAATAATAAATTTTGACACACATGGTAGTTAAAAATAACAATGTTATTTAACTCAAGATATCCCTGGGGAAAAAATTTCTTATATTTTAGACTTTTAAAAAATTCTGAAAAAATATGTCATGTTTCTTAGATGCTTTCAGTAATAATTGAATGAGGATTTTCGGAATATTTCAGTATCTGCATGAAAATTTCTGATAAATTGTGTGGATTTTCTCATATTTATTTAGATCTCTATAACGATGTGTTGATGGGAGAGAAAAATCTGAAATATTTCATTATTATTTTGTCTGAGTTTTTCTAAAGAATGTTTTAATTTGTATAAAAATCTGAGAAAATCTTAAAATTCTGAGTCTTAAAATTTTCATAAAAATTCCGATTAATAATATGAAAAATTCTGAAACATTTTTCCACCAGGGATTAATTTAAATTTCATACTTTAATATTTAACAATGTAAAGTGCAAAATAATTGTGCAGATGGAGGTTACGAGACGAGGCAGTGCTCGAGAAACGGCCTCGTCTGCTGGTGCGTGGACGATGAGGGTAGAAAGATATCCGGCTCCATGGGTCCCGCCGAGAAGATTGATTGTAGATCGATAAGCAAGGCGCGTTCGCTCCCGACATCTTGCACGTCTCAGCAGTGCGCTCAGGTTTGCCAGTACGGCTTCAAAACGGACGCTTCCGGTTGTCCGACATGCGAATGCGATGATCCGTGCGAGGGGTAAGCATCGCCACGCAACAGTAATTAATACTTTATTTGCGAGCCAAAAATAATTTTATTTATTATCTTTTATTTGTTTTACTAATAAAAAAATTTATTTTAAAAGTGATTATAAATTATTAAAATTACCAGAATTATATAATAGATTTAAAAAAACCGTGTTGATATATTGAGATTAATGATAAGAGATTAATCGGATATGTATCTTAAACTATTATTTTTATAGATTTCCATGCCCTGAGGGACAAGAATGTGTCCTGAAGCGGGAGAATAACTGTCCCGATTTTCTCTGTCTGACAAAACCGGAATGCAAACCTAAAAAGACTTATAAGAGCCCCTGCATCCTCGGGACACCGCTGATCGATCAAGACGGAAACGCCGCGACATGTTCCGCTAACGAAACTTGCCCCGACGGCTACAAGTGCACAATGGTACTGGAAGCCGGTCGATCGGTGTGCTGTATGGAAACGACAAGCCCCGCAAAGGCACCTACAAGTAATTTCGCCATAATAAACAATAATGATAAAGTTATTTCAATTATTATCATAAATGATATCTATTCATCAATAACGATAAACGTAGAATTATATTAGATATACGTAGATAAAAGTTTAAAAATTAAAATTATAAAAATCAAACTTTACTTCTTGAGATTTTTACAAGACAATTTCTTTTTGCGAAAATATTTAGTGTGCGAGTATCTTCGGGATTTTAACGATCGTATGGAAGGTACGAGGGAGGGAATGTCCTTGGCAATCCCGGCGCCTCAGTGCGAACAGGACGGCGGCTACAAGTCTCTGCAGTGTCACAACGGTACGAGCTGCAAATGTGTGAATCACCGCGGGGTGATCTTGAAGACCGGACTGGACCCGGCCGCCTCGGCTGACTGCGAAGCCATCAAGGAACTCACGCGGATCTGCAAACGTCTATACTGCAATCTGATTTGCCCGTACGGTTACAAGGTAGACGAAGCCGGTTGCGAGCAGTGTCGTTGTCACGAGCCATGCCGCGATGTCACCTGCGACCCTCACGAGACCTGCACGATGATCGATGTAAACTGCGGTCCGAACGAGTATTGTCCAGCAGTACCAGCGTGTCTCACGACCAAGCCGGGTCAGTGTCCGTATCTCGTGCCGAGTTCATCAAGCTGCGAGCTGCAGTGCAGCAACGATCAGGAGTGCCCGTCCGGCGACAAATGTTGCTCGACCGGCTGCGGCACGCAATGCGTGGCGCCGGTCATGGCTACGGCCTGTCAGCATGCTCGAGCGGTCGCCGAGCACGCCGCCAGGGAATCAGGCGAACCCGCGAGGAGGATCTATATACCCAGGTGCGATGCCGATGGCGCGTTCGAGCCGGTGCAATGTCACAACGGTATGTGCTGGTGCGTGGACGAGGAAGGCAAGGAAGCGGCGGGTACTCGGGTCCTCGAAGGGGTCGTGCCGCGCTGCAACACGCCCTTGAGATGCCCGGAAATCGACTGCAAGCTCGACTGTCCGGATGGCTTTGAGCTGAACGCAGACACCGGCTGTCCGACGTGCTCGTGCCGCGACCCATGTCGCAGCGTGACGTGCCGCGGCGAGAACGAGGCGTGTCGCATGGTGGAGGTCGCGTGTAGCGCGCCGCCCTGTCCTCCGGTACCGGTCTGCCTGCCGAAGAAGGACAATCCCTGTCCGAACAGCTCGCCGTTGCTCGATCAAAACGGCTCGATCGCAATCTGCGGCCCGCACGGCCGTCACTGCCCGTCGACGCACAAGTGCGAGCTGTCGCCGCTGGACGAGTACGCGGTGTGCTGCCCGAAACCGCGCGAGGTCTGCTTCGAGCCGCCCCGAAGAGTGCCCTGCAATCCGAGCGCGGGCTTCAACGAGACCGAGAGATGGTTCTTCGATCCGGAGCGCAACGAGTGCCGGCGTAAGCACGAGTGCACCCTCGGCCACAACGACTTCTCCAGCCGGCTGGTGTGCGACACCGTGTGCCCCGTGCTGTCGCAGTGCGAGAGGCTGCGCGAGAAGAACCTGAAGCGGTCGCAGCGACTCAAGCAGCCCACGTTCCTGCCCAAGTGCAATCCCGACAGCGGCACGTGGGAACCGGTGCAATGTCTGGAGCACGTCGGCGTCTGCTGGTGCGTGAATCGTAAAGGCCAACCGATCAAGGGCTCGCTCACCCGGACCGCCGAGCCCAAGTGCAACTTTCGGCAAGCGAGACGAGGCGGCAGAAGACCGGAGTCGCAGGAGATAGATCGTGAGATTCAAGCGATCATGGAGGACGCTCTGCTGAACTTGGAAACGGACGAACGGCAAGTGGGAAAGATCCTCGGGACCAGGTGCCAGGCGATGAAGGACAAAGGTCACGTGCCGGCGATATGCGACCCGCAGGGTAGATTCGAGCCCACACAATGCGCCGGCGACACGTGCTGGTGTGTAGACGAAGCCGGCAATCAACTGATTGGATCTGAGCCATTTTTGAAGGGAACGAGCATTTGCCGTAAGTGAAAGGTTTCTTCAAATATAAAACCTAATTGCAATAACTCGACAAATGTGCGATTGGGACTGCAATTAAATATTATATGCACATGCAGAAAAAAGAAGACAAACTTATATACTCGAATATACGCAACAATCTATAATCTTCTTATAAGAATCTCAACTTTTTATTTTAACTTTTTTTTTTGGTTAAACTGTATAAAACTTTAACTATGTAAATAACTTTATTCAAGCAAGTTTTCTTTAAGTTATCTTTTAACGCAGTATAATCATAAAATTGTTGCGTAATATTTTGACACTTCTTTTTTTCTATGCACACGAGTGTTTTTGTGTTATTAAATTAAAATTTTCAATTATAAATTTTAATAAAACAATTTTCAAACAATGTTATATTACAGCACAGCAAACGCAACATAATTATAATATCTGTTACATTAATATATTAAAGTGCCGACTCCAGTCGAGGCTGTCGACGTGACGTTACGCTTCCCCGGTCGGTTCCTCGCCAGCGACGAGACGCGATTCGTCCGAGAGGCCGAGAATTTTTTGCGCGAGCTCGGTGCGAGACTCCGGAAAGACGTGCGAGTGGAAATCAATCAGGATTCGGCGATCTTGAGCTTCGAGATCGTTGGCGCGAACAAGGTGGACGTGGCGTTCCACCTGGAAGAACTCACGCGAATCCAGAAGTTATCCATGCTGGGCTCGTCCGCGGACGCGACGACTTCGCGTTTCACGCATCGCTCCACACCCGTGGCAACACAGAGCCGGATGGTCGCGTTGGAACAACGTGAGATCCTCACGCAAATGGAAACGCCGTTTTATCAAACGGCCACAATCGTCCTCGCCGCGAGTAGCGCCTTCGTCATTAGCAGCCTCGTCATTCTCCTGATGCTGTACCGCAAGAAAGTAGGGATCCATAAAATTTATATATAAGATAAATAGATATTAAACCTGTATTTATAGGTATTCTATATTTAGCAATAGCTATGTGATTATCTGCTAAATTTTATTTTATTACTAAATCTAATTTTTGTTTTATTATATTTGTAGTGTCAAGTTATACTCAATTTGAGTCATTTTTAACCGTTCTTATAGGTTCGCTATTAAGGCCATTGAGGCTCCTATTCAATATGTCGTTAATTTAATTAAAACAATGTTGATTTAACTAAAATGGAGTTAAAATAATACTGTTTTATGTTAAAATCATAAATTTCGACACACATGATAGTTAAAAATAACAAAATGCTATTTACTCAAGATATTGGTATAAATTTCATCTTTTAATATTTAACAGTGTACTTGCTACATTTTTAACGTTCGTTAGAATCATTTACAATGCCGACTATCGATCGTTGAACTATCTAAATAAATCTGTTGTAGATGAAGCTAAAGGATCCCGCGAAGACGTTTTCCATGGACCAACACTTTCTCGCTTATAGCCAACAGCCGGTTTACGTGATATCAAGAGCAGAGCAGAATGAAAAAGAAAAGGAGACAGCGGCGCAGCAGATGCTGGAGAACATTCATACGTCGGACACCATCGTCGGAGCATAAAACGATTCAACGCTTTTTACATAGGTAATTCCCACCTTGTACGACAGTGATTCTTAAATTTCTTTTTCCAGGAGTACTCAAAGTAGCGATTTAGATGGAGAGTATAATATATGGGTATAAAGGGACGCGTCGGATCCTTCGAAGTACGTGTCTTTGCCATTTCCAAGGATAATAAACTCTCTTGCACGGCAATTCTTCAATTCTTGCGCCTTTCTTTATTTCTAAATTCTTTTTATCTTTACGGGACGGATAATATAATCGGTAAGGGAATAATTTCTCGTAAAAGGATATGTCAAAAATGTAGAAAAAGATTTCTCAACATATGAGTCTTCGTTTTCGAAAAATGTTTGTTTAAAAAAAAATTGAATAATTAGGAATATAATTATGCTTTCACAACATTGAATGTCTTTAAACATCTTATGTCAAGTAGCCGAATTTGTTCTCAACTGTCAGTCTCGCGACAGCGGCTATTAATAAACAGAGGCTCAAGAATTAGAAGTGCAACTGGAAACGCGAATTAATGTCGTACACGGTATAGTATACATCGTAGTCAGAACAATGTCATGTATATCTCACTGTCAGTCTCGCATTAATTTATTGTCCACACGAGATTCATCGTTACGGACCATAGACTTGACGATCAAACAAATGCGATACTTTTGGATCCGGTGTTCATTAATCAACTTTATAGATTATACATAAGACCGTAAATTCTATATAAACAGCTATTAAGACATATCTGATATTCATCATTCTGGTACTGTAATTGTATGAATCGTTTGTGAATTTACTTAAGCGATTCTGATACAGGATCGAAAGATATAATCCACGCTTCTCTAAGGTAAGATGTAAGATAGTGATTCTTTTGCTAAATCGGAAACGTTTACTCGCGAATGACGAGTTTATCGATGGACATTAGTTTGATCGTCGAGGAACTAGGTATGGGAATTGATTTTATTATTTTCATTGGTATTTGTCTTCATTACCTCTTTGATGTGGGAGTCATTAACGCAAGGTTGCCCCTCGGGGTCTGAAAATCTCGAGGTGCAGAATGTCATTACGTTAATACGTCGCACGATTGTAAATAGATTATTATATTTATAGATTTATACTGTGTTCGATTATTTATATAGATGAATAAAGATCGGAATTCTTCTGTTTTCCAATAAAAGATTGTTCCCATAAATTCCATTCCTCCTCTACCATATTAAGATAAGTCAAATTGAAAAACAGTCAAAAAATTTTTTTAGAAACATGATTTCTCTCAAATTTTTCAGTCTTCTATTCTTTCATGCAGTAAATATTTATTTATTAATAAATACAAAATAAAAACTTCATTGTCCGCAATTAAATTTTCAATAAAATAAATAAATAGATAATGATCATATGTAACTGTATTGTATTGTAACCATGTCGATAGCTTGATATTAGCTGTTTATCGATGAATGTTTCCAATCGTGAACCTGGATGTAATAATTAATATACATAATAATATATATTGTAACATATATATAATATAATATATTAAATATAATAAAAATTTAATTATCAATAAATTAAAAATTATATCTAATAATATTTTATCTGAACTTGTTGAAATTTTGAAGGAATTAATTCAAATTTCCTTCAATAATTAAAAAAAGCAGTACATATCAGGAATATAGAAAAAAAGATATTTAAAAATCCAATTATTTTGCCTCAAAACTTTTGTTACATTCAAGCCCTAAACAAATAAAAAAATGAAAAGTAGATGAGCGCGAAGGAAGGGAATAATGCAGATGAAAATCAATGCAAGTGTGTTATAACATCTTCTATCAGACGTACGCTTGTCGATCGTAAATAAGAAAATTTCTTAAGTAAAAGTAATGCTTTTTAAGTAACGCTTTAGTGACTTTAATCATCTAATTATCCTATTGATCTAATTAATCTATTGAATTTTTGTTACACACACGGACACAAAACAAAAACAGTATACCAGCTACATCGGAAAGTAGATTACGTCTACTTTTTTATTTCATGAAAAGGTAATTTTCCTTTTAATTATATCAGTTAATCAATAACAATATAATACTTATTTCCTAATTAATTAATTTGTATAGCTAAGGTCATTGACAAAGTTTTTAGCTGTAAGATTTTTATCGACAGAAGGTTTTTATCAACAAAGTTATTACCGACAAGGTAAAGACCGACCTGTGGAAAT